GGGCCCGAGAGGGGAGCCCAAGAAGAGGACGTCCTATCCAGGTGGCAGGGATTTCCTGAAGGAGGGCGTATTTTGGCGGGCTTTTAAATTCCTGCACCTTTAAACATATTTATCTTGTTGCTATTTGTTGCCCGTCCTCGTTCATTAAAATATAAGCACCATAAGAGTAGGGATATTGTTTTGTTCACTTGATGCCTCATAAGCCTACTGAACTATGCCTGACACAAGTAGGGTATGAGGCCGAGCGCAGTGGCTTACGCTTGTAATCCTAGCACTTTGGGAGGTTGAAGTGGGTGGATCACCTGAGGTTGGGAGTTCGAGACCCGCCTGGCCAACATGGTGAAACCTTGTCTCTAATAAAAATACAAAAATTAGTCGGGTGTCCTGGCGCGCGCCTGTAATCCCAGCTACTCGGGAGGCTGAGGCAGGAGAGTCGCTTGAACCTGGCAGGTAGAGGCTGCAGTGAACCGAGATGGTGCCACTGCACTCCAGCCTGAGCAACAAAGCGAGACTCCATCTCAAAAACAAAACAAAAAACAAAAAAACCTAGGGGTGAAAATTTGCTTGTTGAATTTATTTTTTTACTTTTTTCATAGGGACAGGCTCTTGCTGTATGGTGTAGGCTGGTCTTGAACTTCTGGGCTCAAGCGATCATCCTGCCTCGGCCTCCCAAAGTGGTAGTATTCCGGTGAGAGCCATTGTGTCTGGCCATGATTGTTGAAATTTTTCAGCAAACGCGCCTAGTGTGCTGTTGTGTCCCTCTGATTGCCCAGAAAAGCCTCCAGTCGCGTTCTTGCCTGGTCGGAGGTCTGAAATGGGGAGAAGGCCTCCTGGGCCTGGGGAGGCTGGGCCACTTTGGAGAGTGGGACAATTCAGTGAAGTATGTAAGCGCAATGAGACTCACACAAGTAGTGCATTTAAAAATCAGCAGCAAATTAAGAAAACGATTCCATTTACCATAGCATCACAAAGAATAAAATTAGAAATGAATATTTTTTAGAGAGAGAGAGTTTTGCTCTTGTTGCCCAGGCCGGAGTGCAATGGCGGGATCTTGGCTCACAGCAACCTCCACCTCCCAGGTTCAGGCAATTCTCCTGCCTCAGCCTCCAGAGTAGATGGAATTACAGGCATGTGCCACCACACCTGGCTAATTTTGTATTTTTAGTAGAGACAAGGTTTTTCCATGTTGGTCAGGTTGGTCTTGAACTCCTGACTTCCGGTGCTCCAGCCGCCTCGGCCTCCCAAAGTGCTGGGATTACAGGCATGAGCCACCATGCCTGGCCAGGAATAAATTTAATCAAAGAAGTACAAGACTTTGTACATTGAAAGCTGCAGCTAGGCTTGGTAGCTCATACCTGTAATCCCAGCACTTTGGGAAGTCAAGGCTGGACCTGGTGGCAGCTGCCTGTGGTCCCAGCTACTTGGGAGGCTGTGGTGATAGGATCACTTGAGCCCTGGAGGCCAAGGCTGCAGTGAGCTGTGTTCCTGCCACTGCACTCCAGCCTGGGCTACAGAGTGAGAACCTTTCTCAAAACAAGCGAAACTAAACTAAAACTTTGCTGAAAAAAAGTTAAAGGTGATCTAAATAAGTGGCAAGACATCCTAGTTCTTGGATTGGAAAGTATAATGTTGTTAGGATGGCAATACTCCACAAATTGGTCTACAGATGCAATGTAATCCCTTTGAAATTGACGACATCTTTGTAGAAATTGACAAATTGATCCTCAAATTCATAATAAACTGTAAATGGCCCCCAAATAGCCAAAACAATCTTGAATAAAATAGGAGGACTAATACTTTCTCATTTCAAACTTAATAAAAATGTATATTAATCAAAACAGCGTGGTATTGGCATAAGGATATACATGTAAATAAATGACTGGAACTGATACAAAGAAACCCATGAATATATGATCAACTGATCTTTGCCAAGGGTGCCAGGAGTATTCAAAAAGAAAGGAATAGTCCAGGCTCCGTGCCTCATGCCTGTAATCCCAACACTTTGAGAGGCCAGGGCAGGTGGAGCACCTCAGGTCAGGAGTTTGAGACCAGCCTGGCCAACATAGTGAAACCCTGTCTCTGCTAAAAACACAAAAATTATCTGGGTGTGGTGGCACGTGCCTCTAATCCCAGCTACTTGGGAGGCTGAGGCAGGAGAATCGCTTGAACCCGGGAGGTGGAGGTTGCAGTGAGTTAGATGTGCCACTCACTGCACTCCAGCCTGGGTGACAGAGCAAGACTCCGTC